GGGGGGGGGGAGGTAAAAGATTTCCAAATTGGAAAGCCACAGGGGATTACATGGAATTCACCTGTTTCTTTCCTTATTTCTTTTTCTCCTATCTGGGCTTAGTTCCTGAAATATGTTTGTTCAAAGGTGGCAGCTCTCTATGGAGCCAAGGATCTCCATTGTATACTCTTCCGATTTGAAGCGGGCCTATGAAACAGCTGAGACAATTGCAAGGAACTGTGGAGGTCTAGAGGTATGATCTCACTGTTACTTTGCATGATTGGAATTCGATTCCAATCCATTAATGTTACAAACTTTTTATCCACCATACTCTTCATGTAACTTCCTGAATAAGATTCGGTCTTATTATGTGCTACCAATGAGAAACCTGTACATGTTGCTTTTGGTTAACCAGTTTCATCTTGTGCTATTTGCTTTGTTCCCCCCACTTCAGAAACTCCTCCCAGAGATCTTGATACGTTTTTTTAAATGTTTGTTACCTTTTTCCTTTATTAATCATATTTTCTGTGAACTTGTGGCAGTTGGGTACTGTTCCCTTTCTTGTTCCATTTCTTCTAGTTGTTGCTTGATATGAGTGTCTGGAAACTGGAAAGGAGTTGTGATTTTGCTATATGTCGTGGTAGTTTTCTTATTACTATGGAACAGCAGAATTTAGCAATTTCTTAACTGTGGGAAATTTTAATAAGAGAACATTTGTTTGATTGTGGGCACTGGTATTACGTAATTCTGTAGTTGGATAGTCAATAAGGATTTTGTTGTCTATTAGCTAAAACATTCCACCAATTGAAAAAGATGGACTAGAATGCTCTTATTGGGCTAAGAAAGGCATGCAGATTCATAACTGCTATTCAAGAACTATGGTATAAAGTCTGTTTGATTCTTTCATGTTTGAAATGTAGAATGCAACATGACCATGTCCAAGGTTTTAGGAGCGCATATCCGTTTTATGTGGCGCAAATATGATATTCTGTTTGTTATTTCTATGAGTGATGACTTGTGAAGAAGGGAAAAAGAGTTGGAGTTTGACAAGTATGCGTGTATAAGATCTTTTGTATAAAATTTGACTGGCCGACCTGTTGGATTAGTCTAATTATTTTATATCGTCATCCTTGCTTTGTATTTTATTCCAGGTGATTAAAGATCCAGACCTTCGAGAGAGACATTTAGGAGATCTTCAAGGCTATTCTCCTCGTGAAACAGCCAAAAATCGACAGAAGGCTTATCAGGCTTTTGTATCGGGGCAGAAAGATCTGGAAATTCCAGTGAGTACCCACTCTCCTATGTTTTCCACCTCCTTGTGCTAGTGGTGCCTTGATGAGTATCACCTTATTTCATTTGAATTTAAAAAAATAAATCCTTTTGAGTATAATTTGTTCAATGTGCTTTGGACAAGGGAGGGTTGCTCAAGTGATAAGTACCCTCCACCTCTAAGGTGAGGTTAGGGGTTGGTATCACCAATTAAGCGAAGTGGGGAAGGGCAGCGGTTTACTCCTGGGAGGGAGTTGGGGTGTATGGTAGATGTAAGGTAAGGTGATTCTTCAATGTGCTGCATTAACTATGGATGTAGTATCTGTGAGCTTTTAAGGTGCAAATTGACCTGAATCTTCAAGATAAGTTTCACCTACCAGAAATGAATTAGATAGAATCAGGACTTGAGGAATACAGGATCAAGCTTGTTCAACCACACCGATCTCCCATAAAAATATAAGTGAATAACTTAAAAGGAAAAAAAAGAACACAATAAGAGGGAGAAAAAGATGACTGTCTGTGTAATGAAGGGATGCATGTATGAGATTGACTTTATTCAAACTTATTTGCAGGGTGGTGGGGAAAGTTTAGATCAACTCTACCAACGTTGCACATCTTGTTTATATAGGATTGCAAAGAAGCACAGAGGTACATTTGACCATTGAGATTGGTTAAGGGTCAGATCTTACAAAGATCATTTGTGCACATAAAAAGTGTTTGTTTCGAATGCAGGAAAACGAGTAGTTGTGGTATCTCATGGTGGTGCAATCAGAGCACTCCATGGACGGGCTTTCCCGCATGGACCTTCAGCAGGGAAAATCATGAATACATCTGTTAATATATTTCGCATATCTGATGAGGATGAATGGACCATTAAAGTCTGGGGCGACGTCAGTCATCTCAACCAGACTGGATTTCTGGACTCAGGTTTTGGTGGGGACAAAACTTCTGGTTAGTTATGCATGGCACTGTCAAGTGTCAACATCAACTTAGGTGGTGCTTAGTTGAAGAATATAATTGTTCTGCATAACTGAAAATCTAGAAAATATTGCTCTTAGGACCCGTTTGGCCATAGATTTTGCCAAAATAAACTTGGGTTTTATTTGGCAAACATATGTTTGGCCATAGATTTTGCCTATATATTGGCAAAATCCCAAATCCCAAAACCACCTATTTAGCTGATTTTGGGCCAAATCTCTAATAATACACATGTTTTTCCAAAATAAATTTGGAAAATATATTTTGAAGACGTATGTTCAAACACATTTTCATCTTCAAACCAAACTTTACCCAAATCAGATTTTTCAAAACAAATTTGGGAATCTATGACCAAACGCTAGCTTAATCTATCGTTGTTTTACTAGCTTGTTGCATTCAAACTCTGAAATATCGCCAGCATATTATAGTACAGCTCACCTATTTTCTCCAGTCCTTTATTATATTTCAGTATTTATTTCTGTTCCTTTAATGATATTGAGATTTGGATGATGCGAAGAGCTAAAGAGTATAAGGGGGATGAGATGGTGGGGCACACAAGTCGTTTCTCTTTTTACTTACATTTGGGATATGGGACATGGAGTGGACATCATTGCCGTCCTAGCCTCCTTGGTGGAGTTCAATCATGAGCTGCGTTGGTCAACGCTTACTTTTTTTTTCTTTAAGTAACTCGAAATATTTATCTATTCGAATATGTTCCTGGGTTGTTGAAGCGAATATACTTAGCTAATGATAAGAGATCACATTCTTGGGTACAATGTCCGGTGGCAAGTCAGTGAGGTAATTTGTCAGTTTTCCTTGCGTTTAATAGTTTGTTGGTTGATTATTAACCGCAACTACAACTGATTAACCTACCATGACCAACCTCCAACCATATTCTTAATTAGATCATATAAGTTTATTTCATTACACACTTATTGTGATTTTACTCATGGCGATGGGATCAAATGCCAGCTGACCAGGCAAGATTTCTCTTTGTAGCACAAAGTCAGATGGTTACTCGTAAGTAGATAATTGAAGTAATATGTTTATCAGAGTATGTCGTAATATAAAGAATCCTGATTAAAAAGTGCGTCTCATCCATTCTATAGCCCCCATCATCTCACGGTGCGAATTATTCCCACCAAATGATTACAATAAAAAGGATAGTCCAGTGCATAAAATATTTCGCTTTCACGCAAGGTTCGAAGAAAGGGTGCACCTAAGCGGTGTGATGTAGACAGCTTAACGTAATGCAAGCATTCACACGAAGACAATTTTACCATTGCTACAAGGTGTTATAAAAAAATAATAATTGAAAACAAGATTGAAAAGGTTTGAGGCTTGAGGCGTGAGGACGACTTTTCTTAAAAAAATTATTGCCTGTATACATATTTGGGAAAAAATACCGACAAACTTCTTTAGGATACAACAAAACACTATTTAATACTTACAGAATTTCTGAATATCTTAGTAGGGATTTTCACATTTGTTTATAGAGCAAAAGTCAGGCCTTTTCCGAAAAGTCACTTTATTTTATTAACAAATGTGTCTGTTTATTTGAATTTAATTTTCTGTTATAAAAATAAAAATAAAGAACTTAATAATGTGTATTCTTAATGAAATATATAAAATGGACAAGAACTTAAAAAGCCCATAAGATAGCTTTAGGCACAGATGTGGGGCTTTTCCACATTCCCCGCATGGATAACAAGCTAATTCTTACACAAGGCTCCCCTTCAAATGATTACAATAAAGTTTCAAATATCTTACTTTGTGCGAATTATTAAAGAGAAACCCAGATTCACAGATTAAGCTTGGTTGATGAATATAGTACGAACTATTACAATTTCCAGTATGTATATAAAGTAGGCAAATTCCGTTTTCAAATAGTATCAAATACCGCTCTCAAATCCTTAAACTTTTGACTTAATACATTGATTAGCATATTTTTATATGCTTTAAGTCACCTTTTCAAAGTTGCTTTTTCCTGCCATGGCATGCATAAGGAAAAAAGAGAATTCCGAATTGGCAAAAAAAAAAAAAAAAAAAAAAAAAAAAAAAAAAGGAAAACTGTGGTATCCAGAAAAAGAAAAAGAAAAACAAAGCACAGGAAACTGAAAAAAAGTGTGGAAAAGGGATAAAGATGCGAAGTAAAAAAAAAAAAACTCCCTGGATCACTTTGTCATATCAGAAACAGCACATATTTTAACTAGGGACCTTGCAACAATGTGTCAATACTTGTTAAGTTTCCCATCCAAGATTTAGGTGGTCCATTCCTATCCTTGTTTCGTCTTTTCAATAAAAGTTGGTAAAAATCCTTATCAACTGAGAAGAATTTTTAATATAATTAATTATCCATAAAAAAATATATTCCCTCTATTTCAATTTATATGAACTTATTTGATTGGGTACGGAATTTAAAAAAGAGCGACAATTTTTAAACTTGTGGTATAAAATAAGGCGCATATATTTTTATGTGACTATAAATCATTGCATAAAGATAAAATTATAACGGAGAGAGTATTAATTATCTAATAAATAAAATAATTATCTGCTAGAAATAAGCACCTGATGTAACATAGAGAAGTGAAGATGATAGATGAGGATTGGCTGAAGGTTGAGGGACGGTGGAAATAGTGTATTTGTGTCGGATTTAGGAGTTTTGCAACTAAAAATATGTATTTTGCGGAGATAAATGTGTCCCCCTTTTTTGGGGAAAAGAAAAGTCGGCACCACCACCTTAATCATAAGTCATAACCACTATAGAAGTGTGACACTATTATCCATGATGTTTTTTTGAGTAAAATTGGTCGGATCCCCCCCTTGTCAAAAGGTTAATGCACTGAATCAAAGTTACTAATTAAGTACGCGCTAATAAGATTTTGACGACTTAAGCTGAAGGTGTTGAAGTCAAAAGATTTAAAATACAATTTCTATTCAAATATTGTTATGAAATAAAAGCAATTTAGTAAAACGTGAACAAGAAATAAGCAATTTAGTAAAACATGAACAAGAAATAGAAGCAATTTAGTAAAACGTGAATAAGAAATAGAGATAGAGAGAAGGAAGAGATTTTCTTCTTCAATTGTGTGTATTTTCTTATCTATTACAAAGCCTTTATATAGGCACGAAAAGCGAAGAAAATATGTCATTGAAAATAGAAAATATGTCATTGAATATGTCATTAACCATTTGAGAGAAAGATCGTGGAGGAAGAGTAGACATCCACCATATTTTGATTTTTATCATAACACTCCCCCTTGGATGTCCATAAATAATGTGCCTCGTTAAAACCTTATTAGGAAAAAACCCTAT